GGCCTGGGCGCTGCTGGCAGACAGAAATGTGCAGAAGTGTGGAAACAGCCTGGGAAGGAACTGCCCAGAACTCTGCCACACAGTGGGTGTCATCACAGGGTCTGTGCCAGGTGAGCCACCCCATGGCCCCCCTGGAGGCTGTGCCTTGAAGAGTCTTGTGACCCTGGAAGATCAAAGCTGCTAAAAACAAAAACCAAAACAAAACCACCAGCAGGTGACCTCAGAAGCAAGGGTTCTGTCACCCTGCCGGCTTGAGCTTCTCAAATGTGTGACATTGAAGAAGTGGCCCTCTCCAGAGTCACAGGACCAGGCAGGCTCAGAAGACTTGGCAGGAGCCTTCATGAAGGGATCCTCTCTCTGAAAATGAGAAGACTGCCTCCCAGAGGGAGGAGACAGCCTTGGGAACTTTCTAGAAATCAGATCCATGGGTTCAGCACTCAGGGTTCACACAGAACTGGGAGAGGGCCCAGCAACCCACCAGTCACAGGCTGACTAGAGGTCACTCCATTCTGGGGACTCCCCGGGGGCCGCGGACCCGTGGGGTCAGCCCCACCCTCTCTTAGCTCTCCTTTTCTTGGTTGTCTTCCTTTGAAGATGTTTCCCCTGTGAGCCTGCTCTGTGGCAGACTCTGCTCCAGGCTCTGGCATCAGAGGTAAAGAGGAAGGACTTCCGGCTTTGAGAAGGGCATTGGCGGCAGAGGACAGTCAAAGGGAGCACAGGGCTGGAGGTGGCACCAGAGGACCCCACACACATTCCACCAGCAAAGCCCTGACATCTGGGCACACAGGACAAAGTCTGGATTTTCTCAATAAACAAATTGCAAGGGACAAAATAGGAGAAAATCTTTAGAATACAGGAGTCTGGTGGGGCTTACAATAGTATGAGGCCTCATTTAGATTTTGATTTGAACAAGCTAGCAGTTAAAAATACACGTATGAGACTCAAGAGCTGCCTCAGTGGTTAAGAAGGCCTGCTGCTCCTACAGAGGACCAAGTTCAGTTCCCAGAACCCCCGCAGGCAGCTCACAGCTGCTTGGAACTCTAGCTCCAGAGGTTCCCATGCCCTCTTCTGGCCTCCAAGGGTATTCGCTCATATGTACACACACACACAACTAAAAATAAATAAATCTTTTAAAAGAACACTTATAAAGATATAAGGGGGAAACGCTGGATATTTGTGGATAGTGATTTTCTTATATTATATAGGAATTATATAGCATGACTGGCTTTAAATGATGTGTGTGAGTATGCATGGGTGTGGTGTGTGTGTGTGTG